ATAGCTTCAAGCGCGTCAGATTGATTATAGTGAGGAAAAAGTGCGCTGAGTCGTCGACCTCACTCTCCCTTCCCATTCCCACACTCCAGCCGCCGTCCGAGCCGGTCGGCAAACTGGAGTGGTGGATGGGCGCGGTGGCTGCAGCAGTAGTAGTACATCCTCAAATGGTCTGCTGTTTTTTCTACGCAAACCTTAAAGTGTTCAATCGAGGGACCCGAGCGCATTTGGAATGCCCTTCCTGCAGATGTTGTGATGTCACAATTAATGCAAAGTTTTAAAAAGAACCTCGACAAAATTTATAATTCGAAAAGACCAAGAGCGAGGAAAGATTGAGCTCATCCCCTGTAACTCGTCCACATTTTGTCCTACCATAATGGGTTATTTTAAGCTCTTTCAGCCCGGATAATTCCTCTGCACAACACACATTTTTACGTTGAAAATGGGATACTCAAATTCTTACGCCTATTTCCCTCAATAAAGTGAAGTTAACTGAAGTGTGAAGCCTTCTCTTTAAAGTATACTGATTATCTGATAACCATGTGTCAATTGAAAGTTAATTCAAAAGGCTCCTTTGCCTGGCAACGAAGAGAAAGGACTGATTAGGGGCGGACGACGCAGGAGGCAGGATAGTCAAGGAGGAATTGCGAAGATGGTATGGGTGAATACTAGGGGTAGGTGCTGAAATCCGAGGAAGATGTAAACAACTATAAATGCGAAAGAGGGGACAAAAACCTGCTACTAGTCTTCGAAAGCATAAAAATTTTACGTTAGTTAGCTGGCACCTATCTGAGTGGAAAATATTTGGATGATCCATGCCTTAAAGTTTTCTAGTAAAACGCCTTTGAACGTTTTCAATTTTTGAATGACTAGCCTCGTTCATCAAACCAAAGAATGGGCAACAATACTCGAGAATGGGAAGTAAGAATATACGATAGTCTCAATTAAATTTCTGGAAGATAGGAATCGCATGAAATGAAACCACATATCTGGGAAGTTTTGGCTGTAATTCTGTCAGCGTGTGGAGAGAGGTCGAGATTATTAATGCAGCTCAAACCTAAATCATTGATGTTAGTACATTCAGTCATAGGTGTGCCTTGAAAGACCACTGGATGGAGTAACCTATCAGGCCCAAAACGCATATGACGACATTTAGACGGAGAGAATTCCATTGGTGATTTTGGGCTCCATACTGAGCTCATCAACGCGCACAGCAGGATTTTGAAAAGATTAGGGAAAGTAATTTTTTTGAATTCGATTTCTTAATCTCTTACACATTTTTTCAGTGAAGATCTGACAAAATTTACTATTTTTGTCATAAGTCATATTAGCTTCCCGTCGTGTTTCGTCGATTTGTCATAAATTGCAAATATGATGTCGTAGTTTTTCACCCAACATAGCCTCAATCCTATTAAGTTCTATCCGCATATACAAAAGGTTTTCCCCGTAAAATTTTGAATAACTTTATATTTTACACAATACACCGTCTCCACTGACCGCTTTTATCGTCGGTTTATTGACTATTAAGAGAAATATACTGTTCTCTATTTTATCCCACGTAGCCTCATTATCCAATTCAAATTTATTCACAGTTTTGCTTTGCCACCTACGAAATTGTCATTTCCCCTTTTTTTCAAGTTTGTATTCTGTTGTTGAGTAAAATTTGCTTAGTATC